TCCTGTCTTGTCTGCTCACTTATTCCTGGTTGCCCACTTTTATATGTTTCAATGTGCGGGTCTCTCAGGAATGCCTCGGTACTGACAAGGGTCTTGTCTGTTGAATTATAGTTGGTTAAATTGTTGAAAATTCGCCCGGCTGGGCGTGGCTCAGCGGTTGAGCATCGACCTAGGATCCAGGAGATCAGGGTTTGGTTCCCTGTCAGGGCACATGCCTGGGTTGCGGGCTAGACAGCCGATCAATGACTCTCCCATCACTGATGTTTCTATCTCTCTCTCTGCCCCCCTCCTTTACTCTCTCTGAAATCAATAAAGATATACTTTAAAAATAAATAAATAAATAAATTGTTGAAAATTCATAGAGAAAAGCCAAGGGGATCTCTCAGGTGGCCATTCCTCTAAAGGTGAATTAATTGGTATTTTTAGAGCATCTCACCCAGAAGCAGAATATACATTCAAGTGCACAGATTATTTTCCAGAACACACCACATGTCAGGCCATAAAACAAGTCTCAATAAATTTAAGAAGACTTAAATCATATCAAGCCTTCTCTGACCACAATGGTATGAAATTAGAAATCAATTACAAAAAGAAAACTGAAAAACACACAAACACATGTAGGCTCAGTAATGTGCTACTAAACAATGAGATCAAGAAAGATATCACAAGATACACTTTGAGTCAAGTGAAAAAGAACACACAACAACCCAAAATCAAAGCAGTTGTAGGGGGGAAATTAGAGCAATAAAGTCCTACCACAGAAGAAACAAAAATCTTATAAACCATCTAACCTTACACTTATAGGAACTAGAAAAACAAGTAAAGCCCAAAGTGAGTAGAAGGATGAAAATGGTAAGATCAGAGCATAAATTTTTTAAAAAAGATCAGTGAAAGCAAGAGCTGGTTCTCTGAAAACATAAACAAAACTGATAAGCCTTTAACCAGACTCACATTGCAAAAATTGAGAAGACTGAAATTATTAAAATCAGAAATAAAAGAGATCCGACAACTGACTCCACAGGTATAAGAACACTGTAAGAAAATACTACAAACGTTTATATACCAACAAAGTGGACAACCTGGAAAGAGTGAAAAATTCCTAGAAACACCAAATCCTCCAAGACTGATCTGGGAAGAAACAAAAAATCTTAACAGACCATTAAAGTGCTAATGAAATCAAATCTGTAATAAAAAATCTCCTAACAAAAAAGTCCTGAACCAGATGGCTTTACCAAACATTCAAAGAATTAACACCTATCTTTCTCAATCTATTCCAAAGAATTAAAGAGGAAAGGCTCTCAAACTCATTTTACAAGGCCAGTATACCCTGATAACAAAATCAAAGAAAATTATAGGCCAATGTCCCTGATGAACATAGAGGAAAATCCTCAACAATATATTAGCCAGCTGAATTCAGCAATACATTAAAAAGATCATACACTGTGATCAAGTGGAAGATACTCCCAGGATGCAAGATTGGTTCAAAGTGAACAAATCAATTAACATGATAGATATACCACATAAATAAAATAAAAAATCACATGATCATATCAGTAGATGCAAAAGCATCTGACAGATTCCAACATCCACGCATGATAAAAACTCTCAATGAAGTGGGGATAGAGGGAATAAACCTCAGCATAATAAAGATCATATATGACAAACCCACAGCTACCATCATACTCAATGGGGAAAAGTTGAAAACTTTTTCTTTAAGATCAGGAACAAGACAAGAATGTTCAAATTCACTACTTTTATTCAACGCAGTAGAAGTCCTAGCCACAGCAATCAGATAAGAAAAATAAATAAAAGGCATCCAAGTTAGAAAGGAAGAAGTAAAACTCATTATTGGCAGATGGCATGATACTACATACACAGAATCCTAAAGAATGCACCAAGAAACTATTAAAACTAATAAATGAATTCAGCAAAGTAGCAGGAAACAAAATTAATATTCAGAAATTGTTTGCATTTTTGATTACCAATAATGAACTCTCAGAAAGGAATTAAGAAAACAATCCCATTTACAACTGAATCTAAAAGAATAAAATACCTAGAAATAAACTTAACCAAGGAGGTAAAAGACCTATACCTGGGAAACTAGAAGACATTGAAGAAATAAAAGAAGATGCAAACAAATGGAAGGACATTCTGTGCTCATGGTTAGGAAGAATTAGCTTTGTTAAAATACCCAAACTACCCAAAGCAATCTACAGATTCTATGCAATCACTATCAAAATACCAATGGCATTTTTCACAGAATTAGAACTAAGAATCCTAAAATGTATGTGGATTCACAATAAATCCGTATAGCCAAAGCAATAATGAGAAAGAAGAATAAAGCTGGAGGTATCATGCTACCTGTAATCAAACACTACAAGGCTATGGTAATCAAAACAACATGGTACTGGCATAACAACAGACATGAAGATCAATGTAACAGACTAGAGAGCCCAGCCATGCTTCTATTGTCAACTAATATATGAGAAAGGAGGCAAGAATATACAATCGAATAAAGACAGTGTATTCAATAAATGGTGGGCAAATGACAAACATGCAAAAAGATGAAACTAGACTTTTTAAAACTAAAACAAATATAAACTCAAAATGAATTAAAAACATAAAAAAGGCATTAAACTCTTTGAAATCAGTCCTAGCAATATTTTTTTTGATATGTCTCCCCACACAAGGGAAACAAAATAAAAAATGGGACTGTATCACCCTAGCTGGTTTTGCTCCGTGGTTAGAGCATCGGCCTGCGGACTGAAAGGATCCCAGGTTCGATTCTGGCCAAGGGCACGTAACTCGGTTGCAGGATCAGCCCTGGTCAGGGCGGGAGTGGGGGGCAATCACTCGATGTGTCTCTTTCACATCAATGTTTCTCTCTGTCTCTCTCTCTCCCTTCTACTCTCTCTGAAAAAGAAATGGAAAAAATATCCTTGGGTGAGGATTTAAGAAAAAAAAAAAAAGGGACTGTATCAAACTAGAGTTTTTGCATAGTAGAAAACTATCAACAAAACAAAAAGAAAGCTTACTGAATGGGAAAATATATTTGCTAGTGATACATTCAATAAGAGGTTAATATCTAAAATTCCTAAAAAACTCATACAACTTAACACCAAAAAACCAAACAATCCAACTAAAAACTGAGCAGAGGGTCTGAACAGACATTTCTCTAAAGAAGACATTCATATGACCAATAGACATATGATATGAAAAGATGCTCAATGTCACTAATCATCAGAAAAATGCAAAGTAAAACCACAATGAGATATCACCTCACACCTGTCAGAATGGCTATCACCTATAAATCAACAAACAACAAGTGTTGGCAAGGGTGTGTAGAAAAGAGAACCTTCGTGCACTGTTGGTAGGACTCTAAATTGATGCAGCCACTGTTGAAAACAGTATGGAGATGGTTCCTCAAAAAACTAAAAATAGAACTACCATATGCCCCACTGTTATCTGAAGAAATACCAACCATGAATTTGAATAGACATATGCATCCCTATGTTCACTGCAACATTACTTACAATAGCCAAGATATGGAAGGAAGCTAGGTGTCCACTGATAGATGAATGGATAAAGAAGATATGGTACATATATACAATGGAATAATAAATAAAAATAAAATAATAAACAACACAGACACAAACTCATAAATATTGAGAGAACAAATTGATGGTCTCTAAATCAGAAAGGGGTTTGTGGAATGGGTAAAAATGTGAAACGGATTCAGAAGTACGAACTGCCAGTTATAAAAACAGTCATGGGGATGTAAAGTACAGCATAAGAATATATTTAGTAATATTTTAATAACAATGTATGGTGTCAGATGGGTACTAGACGTTTCAGGGTGATCATTTCAGAAGTTATTTAAATATCTAATCACTATGGTGGACATGTGAAACTAATGTAATATTGTATGTCAATTAGAATTGAAAAATAAATTTTTTTTAAAAAAGAAAGCAATGATTAAAAATGTTAACTAAGATTCTAGAGCAAGAATTTTGTGGAAAAACATCTTATAAGCCTTAATTTTTGGAAAAAGAAACCATTATTCTTATCACTTGACAAAAGTAAATAGTTTGTACACTTTGATTTTAAAAAAAGGATAGTATGGACAACATAACTGAACAAATAAATTAGTAATTTCATTTAAAGTACTATTTCAATTTTCCCTCTGTCCAAATTTTTTATTACAGTCACTGACAAGCAGGACAACTGATAGATTTAAAACTTTTGTGTGTATGAAAAAAATGCTATAGAAGGATGCAACAGGAGGAGACATGGGGTGGTAAAAATCTGCAAGACTTTTTTCAAGAGACCAGGTTTAAGCACTTGGGTAACCTCTCTGAGGGTTTGTTTTCTCATCTGTAAAATGGGGATACCACTATTTACCATGCAGGACTGATATTAGGATTAGGTAAAAAAGAGTAACCACAAAACCTTGCTTCTATTGGGAGGAAGAAGAATTGAGGATAAATGCTTAATATGGATCGAAAAAGTCTAATATATACTACATGCACACATATCTGTTAACCTGTCTAGTAATTATATTTTAGAGATAAAGCCTTTACTTGTTTAATGGTGAATGTAGTACCATGCCAAATACACAATAAAGAACTTTTTCACTGAAGTTATTACAGGACAACTTATGTATGTGAACCTCAAGTCTCAACGAGGTAGTATATTCACCATTTCTATTAATTCAATGTGAGAATTACCATTAAACACTAAAAATAAAAAGCCAAATTTAGATTGCTTAAAAATAGGTACTGTTTCTAGTTCTGTTTTGTTTTTAAAGCATAAGGTTTTTATGAATCTTGAGTTCTTGACTTGTTATATAAACTTGTGCACAAATGTTGGCTCTGAATTAAAAAAAAAATTAATAGCTTTCAAGGATTCAAGGAATTCATCCAAAATAGCACCAAAACTAAGCTAGAGAAATACTCTCTGAAAGCCCAAACTTTGATATCTATTATAAAATCAGCACTTACCTCATCATACATGAACTGTAGAGTCAGAGCAGACTTGCCAACACCGCCACTGCCCACCATGATGACTTTGTGTAAGGCCAAAGAATTCTGACCCTTGGGCTTATTTGCAGCCATCCTGTATCAGAGTTTTCACCAAAGGATTAAGAAGAATCTAAAAATAATGAGAGAATAAGTAATGCTCAGTACATTCTTCTTCAGAATTCCAGTAAAGAAAGAGATATTATATCCGTATGCTTCAAGAAATTAGTTTTCATCCTGCAGTGATTTTAAACAGATGGCAAATGAAGTATGCTCATTTAAGGGAAGAACCACTTACCAGAGAAAACCATGACAATAAAACAAGTATATAACTCAAGGGCATTTCTCTTATAATAGTTTTCAGTAATGAGCTGTGACCAAAAGTGAAAACTTCCCAGTAAAACTACATGTTGACGATAATATAGTTGTATGAGAATATAATCACACAGACTGTGAAAACTGGCTAAATGATCACTTTGTTTTCATATTAACCTTTATTGGTAATAATTGAAGAGATGTTTCTTCTAATTCCAGTAAGAAACTGGACAACAAAAAAGACTGCCAACTAAAAAGCTTGCTTGCTTACTTTTAGTTTAGAAACGAAGAAACTGCATCCCAACAATTTGGTGGTAGAATTATCAATAGAATCCAACACCGTCTACCCCAACTCCCAAGTATCCCATCACTGGAACGTCGCTGTACCTTGGGGTGGATGGCCAATAAACAAACATTCAAAGGCCTGGATCTTGTGTGCCCTTCCTTGGAACATTTATCATTTGTTTACTACATGCCTGTGCTCAGTGTGGAAAGGCCAGGTTGCTCCAGAAGCTGTAGTGGTGAGGTACATTAATGGCACTCAGTTACCTTTGGCCATGGTACCAGGCCTTAGAAAAGGAGGCTATGAGGTCACAACAAACACTGAGTCTGTGTAGAGGACAAGCAAGGAGAGTTTCTCTTATTAGAAGACCCAGGGGACTGTACCCTTCCTTATCATCATCTCTTTGACTTACTTTTGCCACAGACACACCTTTCCCAAGTTGCAACTCATAGGACTACACCCCATCCTGCCTACCTCCCTATACTGTGCTAATCTCTCCCAGTTTGGCTGCATCAGACGCACACTAGTCCCCTTCAGTTCTTCATATACTCTTCTCCATCTCTTGGCCTTTGCTATGCAGTTTCTTCCATTTGGCACATTCTCAGTCTAGCTGGCTAACTCCTCTGTTTTGGGGTCTCAGCCTTACCTGAAACTCTGAATCTAAATTAGGTTCTCCCCTGCCCTTTGTTCTCTCCTTATAGTACCTGATGCTTTTCCTTCATAACTGTTACCAAGTTGAAATTGCTTGAGTGTGTTCATTGTTTAATAGGGGTCTTCTTCCCCAATATACCAGAAGTAACTGGAGTACAGGGGCCATGTCTATTTGGGTTACTTTATACTTAATGTAACTAACATGGCTTGACAAAACCAGCCATTCAGTTCATAAGCGTTGAATGAACAAATAAATGTTCGAGGTCTGACTTAACTTTGACAAGTGCTTTAAACACTACTGGTGTAAAGTAGCTGTTGCTACGACAGACTCAATCATGAGTCTAGGCAAGGACAGTCTGCTTGGAATCTGTGCCTCTCACACTACCTGTACAGGGCACTCAAGACCTGGGCACTGCTTTATGCTGCACCTAGAAATTATGTCCATATGCCTATTTGCCAATACAGAAAAGTATTAAGAAATACACCCCCCAATCTTGTTATCCATTTAACAAGAACATGGTAATATCTTTTGAGACTGCTTTTAATCTATATAGAGCATAACTGAGATCATACTATATATGTAATTTCTGATCCTGTTCTTATCATTATATCATAATCATTTTAGCAGAAGCAGCTTGAAATGTGAAACATGATAAAGAATCTATGCTTGGAGGCTAGAAGTTCAATTCAACTCAAAAAACAGGATCGAGTCTTTCTTTTTCCTAGATACCAAGAACATGATCATTAGATTCTGAACGACTATCCCTGCTCAGAAATAGTGAAAATAGTATACTTCAGATAAGTAATGAAAAGTGAAAAATACCAAGTTTATAGAGCATGCTGTTGCAGGTGTGCCTAAATAAATTAGGAAATTACTCTCTTACTCTTATGATCCTTGCCTGGCAGCTGTAATCATTTCACAGCTACGTAACTACTGCTTTATTTTCAAAACAGAAAGTACCACATGAACTCAGGGTGTTACCATATCAATTAATACCCTAAAATTGTGTGTGTGCAGTTTTTAAAGCAAAACATTTAGCAGTTACACCAGCTGGGTTAAAACACTTTTCCTTCTAGAACAATTTAAATATAGCCTGTGACTTAGGAAAGGCAGTGGGTACCAAAGACAGTTTTCCAAAGTGCAATTATTACCTAATTATGAGCTGCACATCCCATATTTTCAAGAGGCTATTCAGGAAAAGCTCCCTCCAAAAATATACTCTTCTCCCCACTTCAAAACCGTGGTATTCCACAATTTAGCTCCCAATCCCTACTCTAGACGCTATTTTGATGGTAAATAAGCAAAACCCCTACCTACCTGGAACTTCAGACACACACACACATATACAAGAAAATTCCATTTTTTCATGCTAAGTGCAACAAAGAAAATAAGGGGGCAATGGGATTAAAAAGTAGGGGGGAAGGGCTACTTTAACTGGAAAGGTCAAGGATGCTATCTGAAGAGAGAGCATGTGAACCAAGATCTGAATTTTATAAAGAACTCAGCTCCAAGGGAAGAGCATTCCAGACACAGGGAGTAACAAATACAAACATCTAAGATGGCAGAGGGTTTGTCATACTCTAGGGAACAGAAGGTAAGAGTAGATGGAGCCTTGGGAGGTGAGACTGAGAAGTAGGAGAGGCCAAATGACCAAATGCCCTGAAGGCTGTGGGAAAATGTAGTTTCATTACAATGGTAATGAGAAGACTCTGGAGAGTTTTTAAGCAGGATAGTGACATAATTTCATTTATTTTTTAAAAAAATTACCCTGGCTGGTATGTGAATGGATGCTATAAGTATAAGAATTGAAAGCACAGAAGGCTATCCCATAGGCAATGCAAGAGAGGACAGAGGTTTGGGCAGTAGTAGCAGCAGCAGAAATGGCACTAACACTAGTTGCCCCATTATAACAAGTACTGGTATAAGTACCAATACCATCTATACTGGGATAACAACAAACCTTTACTGAGTCTTCACTAAGTGACGGGCATTGTTCTGAGCACCTTTTACATCTTAACTTAGTTGGGCACCACATTTCATGTATGAACAATCCAATGATATATATACCATTTTAACTTTACTTAAAAGATGAGGAATCTGGGTCACAGAAGATGATTTGCTCAAGGCTCAGCCAGGATTCCAACTGAGGCAGCCTGGCTCTCCTAACCACTATGTTGGTTTGGGATACTTTGAGAGACACAGTAGGCAGGACTTGGTTAACTAGATGGGGAAAAACAAAAGTAACTTCTAAAAATATCTGAATGTGTGGTAAAAGATGAGGAAGGAACATATCTGGGAAAGAAATCCTAAGTTCTGCTTGTGTACTAGATATCCAACTGGAGTTGCTGAATAGGAAACTGGATGTTCTAATCTGGAGTTCAGGGGTGAGGGTAGAGATGTAATGTGACAATCATCTAAAAGAGACAGAAATTAATGAAGAAGGAGAGGATGGCTCTACGAGCAAAGTACCCCTAGGTATGAACCCAGGAGAGGAGACCAGGGCACACAGGAATAGGGACATCACTTTCTCTGTAATTGGTGAGGTAAAGCAAAGAATGGGGGTATAGGTGCAGGTAACAGAAAGATTTGGCTATTTCCTTATTAATGGAACCTATATTTCTTCAATGAAATATGAACACATACCTGATTTATTGAGTTGGAATTCAAAAGCAAACCTATCTAGGCAGATCAATGGAATAGAACATATATATAAAGGTGGCATTTCAAACGGGGAGGGGGAAAACGTGGAAGATAATTCGATAAATAGTACTGGGAAAATGGTGAGCCATTTGGAAAAAAATAAAGTTGGATCTAGTCTCTTCACAACAATGTAAAAGAATGGGGAAGGCATAAATTTTACATAAAATGTAAAACATAAAATGTCATAAAGCAAGTTTGATAAATTTTAAAATAAAAAAACTTTTACATTTGAAAATGTTCAATTAGCAAAGTAAAAAGAAAATGTTAAACTGAAGAAAAATATTTACAATTCATTTCAAAGTTAAGAGATAATTTACCTATGTAAAAAAAGTTACTGTAAGATCAGCAACGACAAAGAAATGGGCAAAAAATATGAACAGTCACAGAAAAGGAAATACAAATGGCTCTAAATATTCTCAGCCTTGCTGATAAGAGAAATACAAATAAAATTATATCGGGACACCACACTGTTGTTTTTTTGCCGGGAGTCATTTTAATTGTTTTATATTTTAAAAAATCTTTTTGCCCGGCCGGGCGTGGCTCAGCGGTTGAGCGTTGACCTGGGATCCAGGCGATCTGGGTTCGATTCCCGGTCAGGGCACATGCCCAGGTTGTGGGCTCAATCAATGACTCTCTCATCATTGATGTTTCTATCTCTCTCTCTCCCTCTCCTTTCCTCTCTCTGAAATCAATAAAGATATATTTTAAAAAAATAAATAAAAATAAAAAATAAAAAATCTTTTTATTGTTGCAAGTATTAGATATCTGCCCTTTTTTTCCCCATTGATCCCCTCCACCCAGCATGCCCCACCCTGCCTTCGCCACACTACTGTGTCCTTGGGTTATGCATATTTGCATAGAAGTTCTTTGATTAATCTCTCCCCACCCACTCCTCCGCCCCTGCCTTCCCACTGAGATTCATCAGTCTGTTCCATGCTTCTGTGTCTCTGAATCTATTTTGTTCCTGAGTCTATTTTGTTTAGTAGATTCCACATATGAGTGAGATCATGTAAAACTGAATCAGGAAGAATCAGAAAACCTGAATAGGCTAATAACAGCTGATGAAACCGAATCAGTAATAAAAAAAACTCCCAGAAAACAAAAGCCCTGGTCCAGACGGCTTCACATGGGAGCTTTCTAATTCTTTCAAGTTGTAGAGTTAGTCAGTTATCTAAAAATTTTT